AGCATACAACGATTGCTCTTTAATTGCTCCTTATTGCTCCATCATTATTTTAATTATTTATTGCATATTTATAAAAAAATTAATAAATTAATCATTTTGCAAGTGACGACGCCGCCACCTATCTGCCGCCTATCGTAATTACATGGTTCTGCAGCATAAACGGCGGAAATATTCAAACGAAACGTAACAGTTCTTTCGTTTACAACTAATCTCAAAGAGTCTAATCGACATTTCCCATTGATTTTTGCCTAGAACAATTGTTCCTCGGTTGCTCCATAGAAATGATCAATAGCTCCATGCGTATAATTGATATTCTTGCAAAAAACCATTCATTTCAATGCAAAAACATATTTCCCATAGTCTTCTGCCAGTTTATTGTACATAGAACGATTGCTCCTTTATTGCTTCACATTGCTCCATCGTTATTTCCACGATTTTGTGCATTTTTATTACAAATATTAACAAAGTAATCATTTCGCAAGTGACAACGCCCCAACTATCGGCCGTCTATCGTAATTACATGGCTAGGTCGTCACTAGCGAAATGATTAATTTGTTAATATTTGTAATAAAAATGCACAAAATCGTGGAAATAGCGATGGAGCAATGCGAAGCAATGAAGGAGTAATCGTCCTATGTAGAATAAACTTGCAGAAGACTATGGGAAATATGTTTTTGTAATGAAATGAATGGTTTTTTGCAAAAATATCAATTATACGCATGGAGCTATTGATCATTTCTATGGAGCAACCGAGGAACAATTGTTCTAGGCAAAAATCAATGGGAAATGTCGATTAGACTCTTTGAGATTAGTTGTAAACGAAAGAACTGTTACGTTTCGTTTGAATATTTCCGCCGTTTATGCTGCAGAGCCATGTAATTACGATAGGCGGCCGATAGGTGGCGGCGTCGTCAGTAGCGAAATGATTAATTTATTAATTTTTCTATAAATATGCAATAAATAATTAAAATAATGATGGAGCAATAAGGAGCAATTAAAGAGCAATCGTTGTATGCTAGATAGAATTGCACAAAGCTATTAGAAAAGTTTTTTATTGAAAATTAAAAATTTTAAGTTTTTTGTTAATATTTCAGAAACTATTTATTTTAAAAGGGGGGCAATTGTGGATTCTAATGGAGCAATGAAGGAGCAATCATTTGATGCTGGTTAGAATTGCACAAAGCTATTAGAAATATGTTTTTTATTGAAAATTAAAAATTTTACGTTTTTTATTAATATTTTGAAAACTATTGATTTTAAAAGTGGAGCAATTGTGGATTCTAATGGAGCAATTCGGGAGCAATCGTTTGAGCTAGGTTTTATACGAAAATATGAACTTCCAGCGCCAACTTAATTCCGGTTATATCCACCCTGTATATTTATGTTCTGATTCGTACTAGGAGTAAAGCTGTCGGTAAGGGGCAAAGTGTGTGGTGGTCTCGATTTCACTCGGGCCTTTGGCGATCTGTCTGCGGCGATTAATCTGTGACGACGCAAGCAGACCTATCAAGTCAAAGAAAAATCGACTCGTCGATTCTGAGCATAAAGGATCAATTTATATAAGATCGAAACGGTAAAGAATCAATTCAATAGATTGATTTTGAGGACTTTTTGGATCGAGCTTGCTAGAATCGAATCGAGATCGCGTATCCCTAATCGCAACCGCTGCAACGTGACGCCTCATTTAAAATGACGAGTATACCTTTGCTCTAACAATAACATTTCTTTGAACGTCTGCCTGGCAAGATTCATGAGTCCGTCGATTTCTTCCTTGCTGCGTCTAAAGTTCTCTATGCTAAAAGCAAAGACCGTCATCTCCGTAACACCGAGAGCTATGCACCAACTTATCGTATCGGTCAGTTTTTCATTCCTGTCGTAAATAAAACGTGAGGTATAAGTCTAATAATATTACATCTGTCGTAAGACCATTTTTTTAAGCGGGTTGATTGGCCGCTGAATAGAAAATTCTAGATATTCGAGAATTTTATTATCTTGCAGCCAATCAACACACTTAAAAAATTTGTCATACAACAAATGTAATACTAGCCTAAGACAACAACGGACGACTCTTCGAACTCATACTTACCCTTTCAAGTGTCCCTCTCCTGTTAACATATTATACTTTTGCGCGTAACGCCTGTTTCCGTCCAAGACTAACGCCACGTGTCCAGGTATCGGGCCGGTCTTGAGTATCCTCACGACCAGGGATAGAAACCAGTCCCGAATGTTGTTCATTAACCACGACATCGCACTTGGAAGTTTACGTGCGTGAATACTGAAATATACTACTTGAAAGCACACGGCCGTCCAATCTTTTATTACGAAGTGATCCGAGCGAGAGCGTCCCAAATAATATATATCACGTGTGTTATGTAAGAATTATGGGGTATTCGTTTATGCAACTCTTAGCGCATCCACTCAGTGCTGTCCGAGAGCGGCCTTTAATAGCACGGTCGCATAGGGAGGGGATGACGCACACGGACACGGTCGCTCGCTTGTGTGCATCATCCCCTCCCTATGCGACCGTGCTACCAAAGGCCGCTCTCGGACAGCACTGCATCCACTGCGTCTCTCATCTGCTAATCACGTGACGTAATTTACCGAACGGACAACTGCGTGAACGACTGCTCGGACGTTTGACTCCTCCCATTTGTTTAGAGGTTAAGTGTTAATTATTTAAATTTGGAGAAAATATGATAACAACCTTAATTATATAAATTATATCTTTAAACACATTTTATTAAAAAAAATTCTCCTTTCAGAAACCATAATGATTAATATTATTCATGCAATGGACTTGATCGACAGTAGCTCATCAGATTCTGATTTATAGTCAGATAGCTCTGATGAAGAGCTATTATTAGATGATACGGTATTGTTCATTTCATTTATTAATTCAAATAACATATTAAAAGTTTTAAATAAATGATATTATATAAGAAGAAAAATAATAGAGCTAGTGATCCACAAAGGATACTAAGGCTGCGTTCGGAGAGACGCTATTAGCGCTGAAAACGTCAGTCTATCTTCGTCACTCACTGTACGTCGAACAAAGATAGAAGACGCTTTTAGCGCTGAAAGCGCGCTCCCCGAACGCACCTTAAGCATATATTCCAAGATTAATAATAAGATCGTGATAAACAATTCGACTCATAATCCAGACTTAAGTCCGCTGCAGACGATGCTAATCGATCCTACAAAACTGAAAGTAATGCAAGATAGTTATATGGAAAACTAGAAAAAAAATTAACATAAAAATTCTTAAAACCCGCTGCAGACGATGCTATTTTTCCTGCTGGATTACTTGCAATCTAATAAATTACTATCGTTGCACCATTCAGCACTCAGGATTCCTAGTAATTTAGTAAATCGCAAGCAATCCAGCAGGAAAAATAGCATCGTCTGCAGCGGGTTTTAAGAATTTTAATTTTAATTTTAATTTTTTTTCTAGTTTTCCATATAACTTATCTTGCATTACTTTCAGTTTTGTAGGATCGATTTGAAGCAGGTGATCTTCACCTTTTTGGTTTTTTATTTTTATAAAATAACTCAATCTCTGCGTAAACGAACGACAAACTGCACTGCAGTCGTTTTCGTAGGCAGAGTAAACGAACTACATTTATTGCAGTCACTGCGTAAACGAATGCACCCATGTTGTTGAGCAACGGTGGGTAATTTTCACCGCCCGCGGGCGTCCGTTTGCCCGCGGGCAATAGCTGTGCGTGTCGGGCAATAGTGGGGAGACAGTTTCGGCAAGTGGGAAAGAACACGGTTTTTCGCTTCTTTACACGTTTCATTAGTACATTCTCTTTATGAATAATGGACGTGTGAAC